AATAAATTGAATGTCATGCTCCTTTTAAAGCTGGTTTCCCCCCTGCAGGTACCACGCCTTTGATAACACTCGAAAAGAAACAGAAGAAAACACACAAGTACCCGAGCTGATGGAAAAAGTGGAGGAAATGATCACTGACAACCAAGGTTTGGCTGGATTTATTAAAGTAAAGACCATGTAGAGTTCATGAGATGAGAAGCGTTTTAATTCTAGTTTTAATTAAAAACAGTAGGGAAACATCTCAAATGCTGGAAATGAAACACGTTTATGTTTTGTTTTTTCATGAATTTATATTAATGTTGAAGCCAGCGACACAAATAAAAGACGGCACAGATTATTTCACCCGTATCCTGTGGTGCTTATGTTTGAGGAAGGAACTGCCGTCGTTCTATTGTTCAGAGTTTCCTTTGTTGTATTTTGTTTGCAATACCACAAATGTTTGTGGTCAGAACTGCAGTCGGGTTCATTTAACACCGGTCTCTGCCAGCAGCATTCTGGGATGTTGCTGAAAATAAACATGGACTTCCCATGAAAAGGCTTGAAAGGCTTTATATGTGGCTTCAAACCCTGGATATAATCGTTACAGAGCCAGATGTGCAATGTGCATTAATATTCCCCCCTCCTCACTCGTGCTTGTTTATTTAATGTGTATTAAGAGCTGACACACAACAGTTCGGTGAATAATTTATGGGTGCTTTCATGCAGGATGGTACTTTGAGGTGAATGAGCTAATTTTACTGGAGGAAGAACAGGCCCGGAGAGCTCTGGAGGAAGAAAGGATGAGGATGGAGGAGCACGCTCGACAGAGGGAGCAGATGATCGGAGGACCTCCCAGAGGTATGAGCGTTTGTGTGTGCTGAGGTGTGTAATTGAGTGAGTCATGTGGTGAAGGAGAGTTGAATTCACATGTGTCACGATTCTACCCTAGGGAAAACAACCCCCCCCCCCCCCCCCCCCCCCCCCCCCCCCCCCCCCCCCCCCCCCCCCCCCCCCCCCCCCCCCCCCCCCCCCCCAACCACCCCCACCCCACGAAATGGTGTTGTAGCAAATTGCTTACTCATTCCTGTTGAGCTTGCGCTGCTTTTTATTCAGAGTGTTTTCATTCTCTCCGCTTTGTTTATCTGACTACTCTTCTATTTCTCATCCTGTCCTCATCATTCTGTTTAGAACTGAGGTTGCTGTTGCTGGGTTGGAAGGGTGTTGGAAAAAGCTCTGTGGGGAACTGCATCCTGGGCCGCCGCTACTTTGAATCAGGACAAGAGACAGAGCTGTGCCTCAGGCGGCAGGCGCTCGTGTCTGGTCGTCGGGTCACTATTGTAGACACGCCGGGCTGGGACTGGTTCTCGGTGAGGCGAACCCCTAAGCGAATCCGCCAGGAGTCCCAGCGCGGGGCTGCCCTCCTGCGGCCCGGACCCCACACCCTGCTGCTGGTCCTCCCCGTCGTCTCGTCCCTCACCGCCAGGAAGCGGCGAACGCTTGTGGCGCACATAGAGACTCTGTTTGGCGACAGCGCGTGCCTCCACACCATGGTGCTGTTCAGCTGTGGTGACTGGCTGGGACGCACGCCCATTGAGGAGCACATCCTCAGAGGCGGACGCGAGTTGCAGAGACTGTTGGAATACTGTGGGAACTATTACCACGTACTGGACAGTAAGACGCCTGGCAAAGACAGGAGTGTGTCGGTCCTGTTGGATAAGATTGAAGAGATGATCAGAGAGAACGGCGACAAGGCCTTCCTTCCCATACAGACAGAGTGGTGTAAGTCCTTTTTTTCTATATATTTTGCAACGATAGCTAATGTTCAGTGGCTTTTGTCTCGTGTTGCAGTTGAAAAACGCATATGTACACAGCTGATCTGCTTATGAAAATTATGCACACTAATAAAATGATGTTGCATTTGACAGTGAGCGAGGAGAGCTCCTACTCCTCTGACAACACCGAACCGGAGGACGACTGCCGGGGATGCCAGCTACAGTGACACAATCAGACTAAAGGGAAAAGTCTTTTTCCTCCTTGTGAGCCTTTTAACGGGGCATGAACATCACCTCATAAAACTAAAATCTCATTGAGATATCCCTCTCTAACTCTCAAGAGTTTCAGGGACAACAAAGGGTTCAGATGAGTAGGTCTGGAGAGTGAGACGTTTAAGACGAGCTCCTCATGCCGAACAGCAGGAGAGATGTCCTGCTTCGAGCGACCTGAGCTCAAAAACACACCCCGAGCCTGCGAGCATGTCCACAGAAGTCAGCTGCTGCTAATCTTTGTAAATCTTTATTCCGTCCGCACTGATCAACTTTGTATTACGTGTTGCAAAAAAACGGCAAAATCCAAACCAAAAAAGCTACACGTTTAAAAAAACAAAACAAAAAAAACTGCAATGTCAGATTTGAGGGTGGGATCACATGTGTCATTAGCAAGTTTTGGAAGATTGTTCCCTCTGATGTCAATCAGTTTGAATCAGAAAGGATTTACAAGCAAAAGAAAAAAGCTCAAGTGAAAGCAAGCTACTTAATACCAAATCCAAACATGGACAAAGTGTGCTGGAAGTGCACGCACAACCTTCAGATGTTAAAAACAGGAGGTAACGCTTGCCTCTCACATTAGTGAGACTGAAATGATCTCCGTTAAAAATGCATTCGTCTCTGCTGCTCAGGGAGTCTGAGTTGGATTAATTTAAAAAGGGGCAAAATCTGGCACAGCCACAGAGACGCAGATTAATGTTGATTGCTTAAATGTGGACGTGAGTCACATGTTAATCCAAATTTGGGGCTTTCTCCGAGTGTTTGTTTTAGTTTACCGGGAGCTTAAAGGGAGTGAGTCTTTAAGAACCAGCTAAAAAGCGCAAGTCATTTTTATCACACCTCTGCATTCATGTTCAAGAGGAGCTGGGAAGACAGTTTAAAGAAGGCTGTGTCGAAACTTAGCGCAGCCTCAGATCCCCGTGGAGCACCCGGGCCAGCTCTGCTTGGCTGCTTATGGTCATGCACTCAGTGCGTGTATTGACAAGGCAGATTCAGCTACGTGCCTCAGCATCAAAGCGAGACAGCAGGAGCACACCCTGCAGCAGTAGCAGCAGGGCAGTATCCTATAGGCTACATCAAGCTTTCGCATGCTACAGAAACAGCATAACCTCATGAACCACTCAAGCTCTCATAGGGCTCTTAATACCTTGTAACTTTTTCTACATCCTTGAGCTATCAAACATCAGTAGTTTAAAGAAAAATACATACATATATATATAAATATATACAGCCATCAGAGGCATGTTAAGACATAGCATGTGGAAAAATGAGTGCCTATAGAGCTGAAGGCAACCTCACTTCGTTCTTCTTGCTTGAATAAGCGATTTCTTTGGTATCACATCACATCCTTCTACCTTTACAGCTGCAAAGAAAAGAAGAAAAAGGAGGGGATAAAATAGAATTCACCCTCTGAAATAAAAACAAATACATAATATGTGACCGATAGCACTGCCATGCTGTAAAATGGAATTTTCTACAAATGATGTAGCCTGTAAATGAAACCGCAGCACTGCTCCCTCTCAACGCTTCAGCAACCTCTGTGCTTCATCTAGCCACATAGGCCACCGTGTGTGTGACACGCATGACTTTCACATTTTAATACGAGGACGTCCCACGAGTCCCAAACCACCTCAGTATATCAAAAGTGTAGTAAACAATGTAAAATAATGTACCATTTTAGGCTCTTAGTGAAGCATTTTTGCACTGTGTAAGTTCTACCACTTTACTGTAGCCAAAGTGACGTCCCTTTCTGTGGTCCCTCTTTATGTGGAGATTGCAACATCAGTACTTTGTTCATCCTGAGACAATGATAATAAAAGATATGGATATATTGTTGTGTATTTTTGGCTTTCGTCTTATTATTTAACTGTCATTTCAATTTGAATGCAAATCCTGTCTTTGAAGACAAAAGATCTCACTGTTTTACCTCTGAGAGGATCTGGTATTGTGGTGATAGCATCACTAGGTGGCAGTGTAGTAAGCAAAATACTGCATGTGAAGATGAAGGCAGATAAAAATGAGCTCTGAAACGGTTTGTTTCAACTTGAGTAATATTTGCATTACTGGGAAAGGAGATTATTCAAAAAATAATGCAAAAAAGGTCATTTCAGATCTGTTTTGCATTGGCAGACAAAAAGAGAGCCTAATAATTCTTGCTTCACTCTTGAAAAATGAGGGCATTTACACAAAGTTAGCAAAGGTTTTTGCCTGTAAGGAATATTTTGCCTATTAGTGCTGAACTGCTGTGACTTTGGCGCTTGTCCAGAGAGGTATGGTAAATAGTCCCTGAGCTATCTGGAAACGAGCCCAGGCCAATTACAGAGCGCACACCTAGGTCCCGTCGTAGGATGAATGCACACATTTCTGTTGGGTAACATTATTCGAGTTGTGCCTAGGTCAGCACCAGTCAGCACTCTCACTTTTTTTCTCCCCCTCTCCTGTACACTGGCACAAATAAAAATATGCTCAATTTCATGACCAGCATAAACTTTTGAACCACCTTAATGAGCTGCAGAGGGACTGAACATACTATTACATCTTTTGGGGTTGTATCATTAAGAGTATCCAGTGTAGAGAAATCTGCCCAATCAAACGTGTTGTTATGCACTGGGAAATAAAGCAGCACCCAGATGTTTTTATAAACTTATAAATAGAATTAACTTCACATGACTGTCACTTGAATAATCATGCGTTTTGACAACATGACCATCAGCGGGCCCCATTATCTTCAGTTCTGCTTCAAAGAAAACCCTGAGATAGCGACCAGCCTTGTTTGGAGTTAGATAACAGATAATTTACAGTAAAGCTCATATTTGTAGTATTCATCCACATTACTTTCATGCTTCAGACTCAGGTCAAACTTATTAAACACTAACGAAAGAATTCTCAGAAACCAACACCAGTTCCTACTCAACATCTGGTTAATGTTAAAGCATTCTCTTGTCAACATCATGCAAAAAGAAAAACTGCCACAATTCATTTAAGCACTTTATTACTCTTTATTGAGAGAATACATGTAGTCTGGTTGTGATATAATATAGACAAGTTGAAAGGTTAAAAAGTCAGTTCCTAGGTTACCAAGGTCCAAATACACGCAAATACATACATAAAATATGTTTATACTGGGAGAAGATTACTTAATTTTCAACTACTTGCTTCTACTTCTACGTGACTATTCAATATTTAATACCAGTGTTGGATACATAAAAGGTGATCATCTGACAAACACTTCTTTTCTTGTGCATCCAAGTCATGCAGTGCAGATGCAGCTTCAACTATACTGTTATTCATTTTCAAAAAAATAAAACCCACTGAGCCCACTTTCTAGTCATCACTTCCTATCACGCATGATCAGTCACTGCTAGGTCCTGCCACTAGGGGTCAGCACTCAGACCCTTCTTGAGCCTTGCCATTCGAACTTCCTCCATCAGTTCTTTGAGATACTCGATCTCTCTGGCCATAGATTCGGCCTTCTCTGCCAGCTCTAGGTTCTTCCTCTCCAACAGCACGTGCTCGTCAGCGAGGGCGTCCTTCTCCGCTCTCTTCTTCTGTCTGTAGCGCGTGGCAGCAGTTTTGTTCTGCTCCATCTTCTTCTGTTTTTTGTCTTTTGGAGGCCTCAAAGCTGCACGTTCAGGTCCACCTGCACCACGTGGGGACTTGACCTTGACACTGGTGGTGCTAGGAGAGGGCGGACTAGCTTTGTAATTTGGTTCCGGGTAGGGTCTGCTTCTGGAGGGTGTTTTTGGAGGGGAGGATGGTGGGGAGCAACAAATGACCTTTGACGTGGTGGCCGTGGTGATCCCGACTTCCTTTTTCGGGGCAAGCACGAGGACGATGCGAGTTGGTGAGAGTGAGAGTACAAGCTTTGGGACCTGAGGGACCACAGTGGCTACCACTGGCTTCACCTCACTCTCTGACACATCCACTTCACTGCCAAGGTCCAGGGTAAAGGTAGGGGAGGAGGGAGACTCTACTACGGGGGATTCAGGGTCTGGGGAGGTAGGCTCTGATTTGATTTCGAGCTCCTCTTGAGGCTCTGGGATACAAAGTGGAGAAGAAGGAACCTCCTGCCCATCGATGCAGGATTCAGGATCATCCACAGTGATGACAGCAGTATCTGAACAGACAGTGGAAGATGAAGGGGGCGGTGTACTTGAAAGAGAAGCAGAGGGAGGATCCATGAGCACAGGAGTTGAGAGAGCTGGCAGGGGGAGGGAGTCGAGCTCCATGGGGCAATCAAAGGAGGCCAGGAGGTCTTCTGGAGAGCTGTGAGACTCTTCAGCAGGACTGCAGGAGCCAATCAGCGAGTCCAGGTCAAGGTCACTAAGATCCACCTTCTCAGCCATCCAGTCCAAGTCACTGAGCGCATCCTCTGTGGAGGCAGAGCAAGCAAAACATGAATGAGCTATTAATTTATACTTCGTTACACTCTGACATCAGGTGTCCGAACTTTTAGGTGATACTCAACAGTAAGTCGTTACCTTTGCCGTCACCTGAGAGCACCTGGCTACACGTCAGCTGACCTGGGTGGGCCAATAAAGGGAAGAGCAGATCAGACTCCATCCCGACTTTGTCCCCATGGAGGAGGAGGGCCGGCGGAGAGGGAGGAGGGGAGTAGAAGGGCGGAGGAGAAGAGGAAGACGACAGCGATGAGGAGGTGAGGGGGGAAGCAGGTTCAGCATCCCCCTCCAAGCTTCCTCCTCCTTTCTGTTGTTCTTTGTCAGGGCGGAAAAACAGCGAGTCCATGGCGTCAGCCATGGGAGAGGAAGGCCCCCAGAGAAGGGCCTCCATGTCTTCCTGGCCAAACTGTGAGCTGGTCATCATCATGGTCATAATGGCTGTTGTTGGTCACAAATGGGGAGCGTGACAATGCTAGGGTAGCTTCGAATTCTATTATGCTGTCGAATGCAGCAGTGCTGAGGGTTTCCACGTAGGACCTGAAGACAGAAAGATGAACAAATGTTTTTGAATGCCTGAACACCATTTTAGACACACACACACACTTCACATTTATTACAGAAAAGAAAGTTCCAAGTATAAACAAAATCATCCTGAGTCAAATTCTTTTAATTTTTACCAACACTGCCCCCAAGACTGCAATACCAGTGATCTATCACGTGTTTCCGCGCAGCTCCCAGTCTTATGACTCTGACGTAAGTCTGCTAGCAAGCGAGGTCAAAAAGTCCGTCTCCCTCCCCACAAAAAAACAAAACAGCTACACTTTTGTTCTCAGTCCGCCTGCAGCGAGCCGCCATTTTGACACAAAGAGGAAACGAACCATTTTCTGAGTGCCACGTTGGCGCTCGGAGGCCGGCATGAGAACACAAGTTTGATTAATCAGCGTGAGAGAGGGTTTAGCGTTTTCACAGATACAATGTTACGAGCTTATTTGCGAAAACTGCGTCAAATGTTACAAATCGTGACAGTAACACGTGTTGCGTCACTTCAGTTTTGTCGTCATTTGATTTAATAGTTTCAAATAAAGGTGTTTAGCGTTCTATTAAATAACTGTATGGCATGGTATGGCATATATATATATATAAAAACATAACAGCAGACTCGTCAGACCGGCTCCCAGGCCAGACGGTTGTCCCCGACAGCTGGTATGTTAAAAAATAATACTTACGACATTTTTGCTGAATTAGAAGTGACTCAGTGCACTGGCTGGATGCACTGTTTTGCTGGCTGCTGCTGGGTCGCGGCACAATTTCACACTGCCATTTCGGCAAATAGCGCGGTGTCCAACAATGTCTGCTCGTTGTCTGTTCCGCAGGAGGGAAAATGGCGATAGTTGTGAGCAGTTCGCGATATAGAGCTGATGCAAGGAGTGGCAATATGCATCCGCCGTGCCCACATTATCAATCCGCGTCACACCCACTGTCTGCTGGCTGTCTGAAAAAGTAGTCACTGAAAATAAACTTCTGAAAGTGACGCAGTATTTATTAATACCACATCTTTCAATATATATAAGCGTAACTGCCATTTATCTGTATAGATAGCGACTAACTGACTAATTGTTATAATAACATAGCAATAGCTTTATTATAAAGTTTCCTCTAACAGGAAGGTTTTTTCAAAGAACTACTTTTGGGTGGTTAATTTTTTAACAGAATTGAAAAGGATGAACTGTGCTGTTGTTACACAAGTGCCACTGGCATCCCTCCTATACCCATCAAAAAAGAATAAATAGTAACAAAAAACCCCAAAACAAATAAATAAAAACATCATTATGCCAGAGGGAGTGATTATAGAGTGTAATAACAGTCCTGACGGTTATTATAGTGTATGTGGGATTGGGTGAGGGTTGCTGGAGGCCACAGCTCAGTGGAAAAGCAGTTCCTCACTCTGTTTGTGCTAGATTGCATTAGTCTGTATCTGTGTGTCTGTGTGATTGCACATGCTCATTCCACACAGTGTTCACCACAAGGTCTAGGTCCCACAGGTGGGACGTTTATGATTAATTATCTGGTCTGACTGGTGTTAATGACAATGCTTTTCTTCTCATAACATTCAACTAAGTGTGCCACCTAAAGCTAGTAAGCTGTTAAGCATTATGTCAGCATAAAAGGTACTCTATATTGCCAAAAGTATTTACTCATCTGCCTTCTCATCTATATGAACTTGAGTGACTTCCCATTCTTAATCTGTAGGGTTCCATGTGATATCTCCCGTTTGATATCCCACAAAAACTTGCTCATCCGTGTCTCTGTGGGCCTTGCTTTGTACACTGGTGCGCAGTTATGGAAAGGAGCATCCCCAAACTGTTCCCACAAAGTCGGAGTATGAAATTGTCAAAAATCTCTTGGTATGCTGAAACATTAAGGGTTCCTTTCACTGGAACTAAGGGGCTGAACCCAACTCCTGAAAAACGACCCAACACCATAATTACATTTGCAAACAGAGCAAATGTTTGAAGAAGCAGTCTGCATGCCTGGGTGCTTGATTTTATACACCTATGAAAATGAAAGTGACTGGATCACCTGAATTCAGTGATCCAATGGATAAGTGAATGCTTTTGGCACTATAATGCACATATGATCTATATTATGAAAATATTGAGATTTGAAATTGTTATATTTTGAATGATTTCAACTATACAACTATCAGCCTCGTCAGCATCAGTTAGTCCTGCACTGAACTTTATAAAAGGATCTTGATGGAAGCATTTTAATAAGGTTCCTGCAGGAGCCCCTCAAGCATTAATAGAGGTTCCTCCAGTAACCTTTTTATTTTTCCTAAATTGAGCTATTAAAGGTTCCGTAAGAAAACTACAAGGTGAACAAGGTTCTTTGAATAACCCCAATATCCTTGAGATTATCCGAATTCTGAGGGAGTGCTGCGCTTAATGAGTCAAACATTCATCTTTTTTCCAGTTATACCATAACACAGGTGTAGCGAGGTGAAGAAAACAAGGTGTATGTTGTGAAGCTAAAGCTAAAGCAAGGAGTGTGATATCCTTCTGCAGCATATCCTTATGATTTCTGCCATTGTTTGTATTCTGCACTGCAGCCACTGTCGCTGACTGGTGTCCTAAAAAAAATAAAAAGTAATTACTGATACTCAACTTTGCAGGTGATGCAGTACTGTTTATTGATACCACACGATTAAATGCATACAAGAGTAACTTTTGTTAATTTATATATTTAATCATAATTGTTATCAGGACTTCAGTAGTGACTCCAACATAAGCATTTCCATTTTTACAGTGACGTAAATGTACAGGAACTTTCAAATCAATCAAAAAGGAGTCAAGTCAAACACACTTCACATCTCTGTCACACACACACACACACACACACACACACACACACACACACACACACACACACACACACACACACACACACACACAAAGGACAAACACAGTGTTCTTTGATTCAAGATAACTTTTTCCACATGTCAATCAGATAATCCAGTCCTTCCTGTAGACCATCAACCAGCAGGCAAACTTTACCCGAAAAAATGCTCTTATTTGACTTCTTCAGCTTCTGACCATTCTTTTCTGTAAAATAAAGATCCATTTCCTTGGTAAAAGCTTGAAGTAATTTCTCAGATGACGTCCCACCTGGTTGTGCAGCTCTCCCCCCATGAATGTCTGTGTTGCTTTTTCCATCACATAATATGTATAACATCCTCACCGCATCCAGATGAGCGCCTGCACTCTTTAACCTAGCAATGCCGTGCCTTCGCAGCTCCATCACTGTGAAGATAATATAATCTAGACAGCGTTCCAGATCAGCGACACCTTCCATGTAGTCATTTACCAGTTTCTCAACTGCCGTCCTCGTCACCATCTTCTTGCTGACTATAGCGGCGTGAGCGCCCATACCTCCAGCAGATGCAATCATGCCAGCGCCGACAGCTGTCGCAATCAGCGAGGCACCCATGGTCACCGGAGCTAGGACAATCCCCACCACTGCAGCTACCCCTCCCACAGAAGCCGTGGTCCCTCCGGCAATACCCATGATTTTGTTGTTCTTCTTGATCTTGTTTAGCTTCTCACAGATGGAATGGAAATCTGTGATGATCTTCTGCAGGTCTTCTTTTCGTTTACTCATTAGAAGATTGTAGAGACGCCAAGCCTTTGCAACATTCATGGATCTCTGACTGATTGAGCTTCAAAGAGCAGTGACAGAAGAGACAAAAAGTTGTAGCTCATGTAATTAGGTACACAACAGCTTATCTCGCTGACTTCCATCATCACGCTTATGCAGATTTTCATGTTTTTGGTTACCTCATTTCATCCTCTTTGCTGACACCATAGAGTGACAAAGACGAATCAGAGGACGCTGAAATGATTGCACAGAAATGAATACAATAAACTGGACATAACAATATAATAATGCTCTGTGTTAGCAAGGATCATTTTTCACAAATCTTTTTCATGTTTTTTACATTAATTACTACTTCTTGGAATAAAAGAAAGAATAAAAATGCCTTTTTTCAAGGCAATTATGAAACAAATTTTTTCCTTACTTATCATTCTGTTGAACCAGGTCAATAGCCCGCTGAGGTCCTGAGGAAAACAGATCATTTTTATATGAAAATCACTCGCTGACGAGGGAAAGATCACATTGTACTAAATCACAGTTAGATAAAAGATCAGGTAGACTTTACAGGAAAACCCTGATCTTTGTCATGCATTTGTCTGCAAACACCAACTTGTCATTTGTAAAAACAATGAACTGACTTACATCCATGTCCTTTTTACCGTAACAGTAACCAAAAGACAACTTTAATACATGTGTATATTATGAAGCGTGCGTGTCGTATAACTGCAGGGTGCGCTGTCTCTCTCACCAACTCCTCTGAATCATCCTGAAGGATCTCGAGGTACCGAGGTGTCTCAGAGTGCACTGATCCTCCAGACACTGAGTGTGATGATGGTGGGTTCAGTGGAAGCTGTGGTGGTGTGTTCTGTAATGGACATAATATTTTGGTTGTCAGCTTTCCTATAACAGGAATACTCCAGTTCAGGTAAATAAAATAAGCCATTTCCATAGCTGGAAATTGTTATAATCAACTTCAAGATCATTATTATTTCCATGAGTTTCACAGGTGACTCTGCTGTGGAAATTTTCCAGCCGTGAAAGCCGCTTGTCTCTCACAGTTGTGTTATTGCTAGTCACAGACGTGGTACACAGAGGAGAAATCCAATTCAACTGATTTTTCCTCTTATGTCAGGGTTTATACATTTATGTCACTGATGTTATACAATGGGTCCAGATTAGGGAGATAAGTCTGTGTAGTCCCAAAAAGGTTGATTCTGTTCATCTGGACTTAGCGTGGGAGAAACCTTTCGTTTTTAAGAAGATTTTATATATACTACTAGATATAAAATCCAAGTGCCTTAGTTTTAAAATGACTTGGTGTTCAGGACTGGCAGGCCTTTCAACAGTACAGATCATGAAAGAAAACCCACTTCTTCAAAGAGGCCGGTTGCCTTGAATGTAAATGCTTGAAAAAGAATTTGTGGCTTATGAAATTCAATAAAAAACTGTGACTTTATAGCGTGATGAAGCACAGAGATATTTTTTAAAAGCGATCAGCTGGTAGCTCAACGTACAGACTTGAAACTTGGACAAGTTAATCAGTGGACCGTCACCAGCTGTTGTGACAAATTTCAGAAATTTTAACTCACAAAAAAATATGTGAGCTGCTATGGACCTGCATGGTAGAGCAGGAGGGAGATAATGTAAAAACATATAAACACTGTGTAGCATTAGTTTGTGAAACCCGAGAGAAGTCTGTATCCATATTGCATGACTTTTAATTTGCAGTTTACCCGTGTACTGTAGTTGTTTCCAGTGACGTTCAGTGATTCCTGAGAACGAGCCTGTGAGACAGGAGTTAGATGCATGGAGCCTGCAGGGGAAGGTGGGGACTGACATTCTGGCTTGTTCTAGTCACACACAAAAAGTTAACATAAGACAAATATTTCATATAATACTATTTTAACTAGAGAGAGTCAGGTCCTATTTATGTCCTCTTATTGTAATACTTATTTAGCTCCAGCTTAGAAAATATTACAATTCACATTCAGATGTCTCAGAGAAGTCTGTCTTTACATTTATGACATGAGGGAAATATCTTGTCGAGCATGGAGCACTTACCTCGTATCTCTGACTCGCTGAAGACTGTGTTTCATAATATTGGGGGGGACTTTGAAAACGATGAGGCCGAGGAGGGGGAGGAGGAGGCTGTTTAATATGCAGATCTGGATTCTGTGGCAAAAAAATAAAGTGCAAATTACACATTTATTTAGCATTTAGCCAGAAGCAGATCTTTCAACAGATCAATCCTCCAAAGACAAAACCAAATCCAGAAAAGGG